AAGGGTATTCCTGTCCAGTCCTCGGGGGCTTGGGAAATCACATCCTTGCCACAGATGTGAGAACCACTGCAGGTGGCTGGGGTTGCCCAAGAGCCCTAACTCTGAAGGGAAAGGGGGGAAAAAGGGGGTGGGGGTGTGTGCAGCTGCTGGCTGTGGGAAGGGGATGGAGAAATACATGCACCTTTTCATGGCCATACTGGAGAGACAGGATTGCATGTATTGTTGCAGAGAGAACCTCAGGGTGCTTGAGGTTTGGTGTGTGTTTTTGGTGTGTGTTGGTTTTTTGTGTGTTTTTTTTTTTTTTTAAATTTCCTGAAGAGCTTAGCAAAAGTGAAACATGCTGGATAAACTTACCTGAATATGGAGGGCTATTGGTAAACTGCCTCTCTGGAAACATAGCCTCTCAAATTGCTGTCCTGTTCTATCTGTAACAGGGTTGCTTCGTCTCCTGCCCTGTTGCTGATCCACAGTGCAATCATATTAAGTAACTGCACATTTGTCGCTAAAATGCTTGTGTTGGTTTTTCCCCTCCAACACGACGGGAAGTTGCACTCTGACAGCGCAAGTGGTTTCTCAGCAAGTGTTGAAAGCAAACCCTCACACCGCGGGGTGTTTTGTGCACTCGACCTGTGCTAGCAGAGCTCTTTGCCGCCGTCCCTTCTGAGTGAATCCTCCTGAAACATCCCGGCGAGGCTGGCATGGGGACGTAAAGAGCAGGAGCCTCTGTGCGACGCACAGAGCAGAGGCAGGAGCTGTGGTGGGTGCCGTAGTGCTGGAGTGCCCTAGCCGTGGTGTGGGGGGTGACTGCCGCTACCAGCGACACGGAAAATCTCTTGCTGTTTCTTGTTTAACAGCAAGCCTTTTTTTGAGATGGCTAAAGCGTGACTGCAGTCAACGCAATGAAAACTAATCTACTACACGTCTTTTAACAACGGGCTAGTCATTTGGTTTGTGAACTCATATGCCCAAACAATCAAGCACAAAAGGCTTTATGCCCTGAAATCCATTTGATACCTATTACAATGAATTTTTGGTCTACCCGAGGACCTTGCTGGCCTATACTAGAAAAACAGCTAATAAACCTCACCTTATCCTATCCCCTTTGAGAGAACCAGTAATCTCTTTTCTAAGGAAGTGTTACATTTCAGCGTGACATAACTGGCACAAGCGATGTGCTGTCTGAGCGGCCATCAGAAAATCATGCCCATGAAGAGGTAGGGCTGATTCAGGGTGCTCTGTTCAGCCTCAACCTGGAGTCAGGTGGATGCAAATTCCACAAAGACCTGGACAGCATGAGCAGATGTGCACGCTGCAATGACGGTTAAACTGGGGGTTACTGGGGTAGTTGAACTGGAGTGACATACAGCCTGCTGACTTCTCTCTAAATTTGCATTTACTGCTGCTTGCTCTCCACCCTGTGACTTCCTCTCACCTCTCCTGCTCATCCTGTGCAAATGCTAAATGGAAACTCTGCCAGCCACTACAGCTCACGCCCTCTTTCCGAGTGCTTCCCCAGCACCACCCTAACTGCTCTCGCTGTCTTATTCAGTGCATCTCACTGCCCCGTTCTGGGGATAATGATCCCTGTAACCAACGTGTAAAGAAAGGGCAATGAAGACAGAAGTGAAACTAGAGCCAGCAAGATTTAAGACTAAGGTTTTTTGTGTCCTTTCCAGATCTTGATAAGTCTGTAGTATTCTCATCTGTGACTGGCAGGAGGAAACTCTTTCAATATACCACTCTTCCCTAATGAAGTATTTATCTGGTTGTTACCTCTCCCCTATGTTGAACAAAGTGATTCCTGGGTACAGTTCCACTTGCTTCAGCGAGTATTGCAGTTGCGATTAGACTGCCAGAAGAGCAAGGAGACGTTGCAGATGTTAACCAGTCATTCAGCCGTCCACACCCAAGTCCGGCAGGGCTGATCTCTACATGCATGTTTGGGAATGTGCTAAGGATGATTTCATCATTCTGGTGCATGTAGAAATCGGCTTTTTTCTCTTTTCAGCTGCATCTCATTTTGCTATGTAAAGAAATAGACAGATCTGGCCTTTCCTTTTTAATAATGTTTTAGGACCAGGGTACAAAAAAGGTTAATGCATTAATTTTTAAGACAAGTGATAAATGTACTGCAATAAGCACATCCTACATACACAGAATATATTTCTCTATATAATATGAACACAGAGATATAAAATAAGTTATACTTGTCTTGTTCTTTCATCACAGTAGGAGCTCAGCTTATATAAAGTGACAACAGGAATTGGAACAACACGCTGCTCCAAAGCAACAACAAAAATCAGAAGAGTGCCTGCGTGTGTGTGTGTTTGGGAAACAAAACAGATCAAGGGATTTCTGCCAAAATCGGCTCGTGAAAACAAAAATTTCATAGAGCATGAAAGGCAGGGGGGAGAAGGTCTCTTGGCTCAGGGTAGAGGTTCTGGAGGGGATCAAGTGTTACTGTGTGGTGAGGAGGAGGGTGGGTGAAGGCTGTCAACATCTCAGCTATATTTGTGGGGACACAGGCAATGGAGCAAGCTCTGCCTGGCACCCCACTGTGTTCTCTGCTCTTGAGAGACCATCTACCTGACAGTGTGGAGTTCTTATCTTTACAGTAAGAATGGGACCTAGTAGCTTTCACTGCACGATGAGAGTAAACATATCACTTCACAGGAATGATAAAACACCACCATTGTTCAAAGAGAAAACACTATCCACTGGTTGTGAAATGTTCAGTAAGCCTGGGAGTGGTGTTCTTCCCTTCCAACCAACCTGATGTCTGCCTCTGGTGCCCCCTCCTTCTCTT